TAATAAGTATAAATTGATTTTTCTAATGCAAGTAGTTTTTATAAAAAAAAAGTAAAAAAAAAAAAACATTATTGTTAGCATCAATGCCACAAGGATAATTTTAATTGAATAGTTGACAAATTTAAAGTTAAGTTTTATTTTTTTAAGGAATTTAATTGTAAAAAATTATAATTAATACATTATTAACATGTGTCATTAAAGTACAAGTTAAAAAAACCAATTATAAATTTATAATGTCATATTACAATTAAGAAACGAATTGATACACATTTGATTCAACACACTTTTTAATATTGGTCTAATTCAACTATTAAAAAATAATATTAGTACAACTAATATTCAGTTAATTTTTACATCTTATATGTATGATTTTATTTTTAAATTTATTTATTTTTAATTTTAAATAAAAATAATAATTTTTAATACATATATTATCTAATATATTAAATTAAAATGAATACAAATCACTTTCCTTACAATTAAGTAGGAGTATATGTATCATTTTCGTACTATTTTTGTTTCTTGTTTTCGGCCGACATTTTGGTTTCTTTGTTTGATTTCGAAATTCCAAACGAAATTAAAGTCAAACATTTCTGAAATTGAATATCCATAACTCTAATGCAAACTACCCTTTTACGTTTGTGGAAATGCAGTGGGTACGATAAAGTTTACGTGGAAAATAAAGAATTTCTCGAAGCTTGATGCGTATTGGCACTTGTCGGAGATCTTCTCCCTTAGAGATTACAAATGGTAAGTGTTTGATTTGATAAAAAAAAAAACCTCTTGTGCTTGGTTTAATTAAAAATTCGTACAATTTATTTATAATTTTACATTTTTTATTTTTTCCATCTACATTTGTTTATTTATTTTTTTTAAAAAAAATATGAAATTCAATTCTAAAGTTTAAATTATGAAATTAGTTCAATGTAATTCAAATTTATATATTTTGATCGAATTTGGAATTGAATTCCACACTGGTAAATAAGGCAAGCATTTAAATTATTAAAACACCTCTTCAGTTAAAGCTCTTTTCTCCTTCACAAATAATAAAGGTATTTATGACAAATTTAATATTTAACACAATTCTATATTTATTTTAAACAAAATGCATGCAAAATTCAATTGAGTTCTATAATTTCATTATTATTCCAAACATAAAACAATTTATTTACAAATTAGCTTCCAAATGAATTCTATACAAATTCATTTTCTAAAATGAAATAAAAATTGCATTTTTATTTAAACTAAACATAATAAAAAATTTTAAAACATGATAATTCACTAAAAAATTAAATCACTAATAATTGTTTTTTACAAATTAAATGAATTTTAATTCATTTGTATAGCAAACACACTATAATTTTGTTGTCTTTTGAGGCACACATATATAGACCATTCATATCTTTTGCATTAAACTGATAAATTATTTTTGCAGGCAGATATGGTTGCGCCCTAGAGGCTATTATGCGGATGAGATGATGATATGTCTGGAAGTTCCAGATACATGGACTTTGCCCTCTGGTTGGTGTCGAAATGCAAGATACTCCTTTACTGTCGTCAGCCAAATTGATAAGAAATTATCAATTACAAAAGGTATATATTCAGGCTACAATGCTACTCTTATAAGTTAATT